GTTTTGCTTGTTGTTCACTTTTTTTTTAAATTAAAGGTTAACATATAGTAGAGTGCCCTAATCTGAGGATAGAGCTAGATGAATTTTTTTTACATACATATAGATGTAACTACCACCCAGATGCGGAACATTCCGTTTTAATACTATTAGGACTGCCTCTAGAGCGATAGTTTCTTGACTTCCTTGTTTTCCTATCTTCTCCTTGGTGTGTATCCCATACATGAAATGGGAATCATGGTGGGTGAGGACATGTCTCATGTCTCAGAGTACTTAAGCTGGGATGGTCTCCCTTGGAATGTAAAGGAGGTTGTGTAAGGCCACTGGGGAGGAGTCAGCATTGCTTATTCATCCAGCTCTTTCCTCCAGATGCTGATCTCTTTTGATCCGTGGTTCCCAGCTTTTTTTCTGCCCCCACACCTGAGGGATACAACACATTCCCTCTGGATTAGTGGCTGAGTGTATCAGTGAAGTTTAAAGGGAGGGGAGGCACAACTTGAAACGCTGTGCGGGTTATTCTGATGTTTATCTCGACTCCAGGGTGATGCATGAGACTCCCTGATTGTATTTCCCCCATCCTGAAATGCCACTCATGAGAACATACATCTGGGTTGAGGAGCATCTGTGCTGGTTATTCCCCATTTGCTGAGTGTGCCTTCCCCACTCCTACCAGATCCACTGCTCACCCTTCCTTGTCCATCTCTGTGCCCTGGGAGGCTGACTAGGGGATGGGAGAGATGGTCTGCTATCCCTTCCCTCATCCCCTTCAGCGTAATTTCTGGCAGGGGCTGCTTCTCTGTATCCTGCTGGATGGCCTTCTTCCATGGTCCCAGTGTGCTAATGATTTTCTCCCCTCTTCAACCCTGGGGGTGGTCACAGTTTCCAGCTGTTACTAGGCTCTGGGTGCAGCAGGATTCCTTGTTGCTCCCTTAGCCCCGTCCATGGAAGATGCTCTCTAAGGAGATGCTCCATGGAAGCCTCTTCCATTGAACCATTTGGGCTGAAGTCTGTTTCCTGATGGACTCCTGACTGATCCAGAGATCTGTGGACAAACAGAAACGCTTCCATATTAAATAGTCACTGATTATAGCATGCATCCTGGTTTTCAGAAATGTTAAAACATCAGCAAAATGTGTGGCTTCCAATAGAGAAATGATGGCAGATTTGCTCAGTCATGATGGATAGAGGACCATTTATCATTAAGCCATGGAGTTTGACCTGTCAAGGCTGGGAGCATGGGTAACAGGCAGAGCACGGGGCGTAAAGTCAGGTGAGATGGGTTTGAATTCTGGCACCGACAGGTTGGGAAATCTGGAGTAGGCTGCCTTGCCACTCTGTTCCTCGGCCTCCTCTTTGGCAATCCAGAGTCACCCTGACTGTTGTCACACCCCCAGGAGGGATGTTGTGTGAGGAAAAACGAGGCCATGTATGTGGAAGAGCTTCATGAACTGCCTAGCACTCTGAGCAGGCAGCCATTCTGGGATTCAAGTCAGGGGCCAGTGTTGGACAGGAGGGACAGAGGAGGAAACTCCTAACTTCAGTGCAGGGAGGCCCAAGACCAAAAGAGGCAGTAAGAAGACAGCCCAAGCTGCCCTTTTCCCCTCATCCCAGCTTACCACCTCCTCTTCTCTTACTTGACATGACCTTTCTCTGTCCTGGGTAGTGCTAGGCAGAGAATTAAGGAGCACCTATAAGTGTAGGACAAAGTCATGCACCAGATGAAGTCCGTGCTTTCTGGAGACCAGGAAGAGAAAAACAAAGACATTCCAGGAGGAGGCAGGTCATACATGTCCTGGGTAAGAGGAAGAGTCTGGTGTCATAGAGGCCCACCTGCACTTCCAACTGGGTCACTAATCCTCTAATTCTCCTGGGCAAGTTACTGAATGTCGCTTTCTTGACCTGCAACCAGAGAATAATACCCACCTCCAATGTTTGTTGGGAGGACTGCATGAGGCAATCCCTTATTCAGCCTGGTGCCTCACTATTGGCAAATTCTCAATAAAGGCTGGCCCCTATTCTTAGCATGTTATGCCAGGGAGCCAGAGGATCCTTTCTAACTGGGTGATCCTGGGATGACTGATTCCCCACGGAGGGGGCAATGAACGGGGCTTGGAGGCTAAATACTCTCAGTTTGGCATTCACAGGCCGAGGCACGAGCCGGACCCGGGGTACCAGGGCACCAGCTTCGCGGGCCTGGCGCTCGCTCAGGGACTGAAAGGTGAAGGCGGGGTGAGGAACGCAGGCCTCCCGGCGGGCAGAGGGAGCCAGCACGAGTTCTGGAGCAGGGGAAAGCCGGGATCAAAGCGCTCCGAAGCAAGCCGGGGCGCACCAAAGAGAGGCTAGCGACTTGCATCAGCACAGATTCCGTGATGCTCTGCAGACGTCTCAGGGCTGCTGGGCTTTACGGGAACCCACAAGAAAGGAAAAGG